CCCCCCCCATTTTCCCCTCCCCCCTCCCCAAAAAAGAAAAGCCCACCCCCCACCCCCAGACTTCCCTCAGCTCCTCTCTCTGGTTTCTCAGCACATGCTATTCTCTGCATATTATAAAATTGTCAAGATCCTTAATTTATCTATCGCTATGTTACCAATAAAAAAATTGTGTATGTTTATTCAAAACCTGCCAAGGAGTCCAGTTCATTTTGTTGTTTCTTTAAGTACTTTGTAAAAGGTTCCTATTCGTCTTCAAAGTCACAGTTGTCCTTATCACGTAGTTTTTGTGTCAATTTCACCAATTCCGCGTAGTCCATCAGTTTCTCTTGCCACAGGTCTTTGGTCGGGATTTCCTCATTCTTCCATCCTTGTGCTATTAAGACTCTTGCCACCATTGTTGCACACATAAATATATTTTTGAATTTCCTTGGCAGGTCTTTTCCTACAATCCCTAAACATCCTGCCCCCTTCTGACTGGGGCCCCTCCCACTGCCAGCATGTGGTCCTCAGAAGGGAATGTGGTCATTTGACTGAGAAAGATCCCTCCTGCCCATGTGCAGTTAACCTAGCCTCAGTTCCAGGTCCTTGGCGATCATAGCATTGTTGGTGTGCAGACAGAAGGGCTTCATAAAGCTTTTGCAAAAGAGGAACGATAGGAATTGAGGGAGGCAGGTGGAGCGAAATAGTACAATCCAGTTTTTATTAATGGTGGTAGTATTGTTATTTTCCAAGGGAAATTTCCTTGTAGAGAAATAATTAAAACTTGGGTACACAGGCATTTGGGAGATAAATTAATGTTTTTTCCCATATACCAACAGTGAGGGGGGGGGGGGAATCAACAGCAGATCTTTCCGAGAGTAAAATAGGTACCTCTGTGCAATCTTTATAAATCAACTTTTCCACTTCTTACACATCTGGGATGCAATAATTATACGCCTGTAATGACTTTTCCAAACAGAGCGAGCTCAGGCTGGCTGTTGGACAGATAAATATCCTGGATACGTTTGCAGTCCTGTCCAGCTGCTGCGAGCTCTAGAAAAAACAGGAGTTATGCCTGACATTCTCCTTGTCCAAATTTCCGCTGCGACTTGGAGCATTCAGATGGTTTCCTTCCAGAGGGGTGATCCACAGGTGGGGAGGAACAGAGCAATAGATTCACCGGAATAGAGGCCAGGGCTGTGGGAGGGAATTTCCTTTTTCTTCTTATTTATTTTGCCATTGCAACTTGAGCCTGACGTAGCCTTGGGGCTTGAGAACTGCTGCCAAAGATCTAAGGATCTAAGGCTTAGGGCCCTCGTATTTACGGGACCGCCTCTCCTGGTATGCCCCGCAGAGGACCTTAAGGTCCATGAATAACTCTAGTTTAGAGGTCCCAGGCCCTAAGGAAGTCAGACTATCCTCCACCAGGGCCAGGGCCTTCTCAGTGATGGCTCCGACCTGGTGGAATGCTCTGTCCCATGAGACTAGGGCCCTTCAGGTTTTAACCTCCTTCCGGCGGGCCTGTAAGACAGAGCTATTCTATCTGGCCTTTCCAGTGGTACCTTTACACATTCTACTCAGGGAAGCCATCCCCCCCACTCCACTCCCCCTTCTCCACAGCACCAGACAAGCCCCGGTAGCTGCTTACCTGTGTCTTGTGAGCGGCAGGGGCTGGCTGCGGCAGAGCGATGAGTGGCGCGCGAAAGGGCTCTGGAGAGGGGCTGGAGGCAAAAAAGCCCAAATTGAGCCTGCTTATAATGACAGCTGATCGAGTGCTAACACTGCTGCTGCTGGCACCAAGAAAGCTCCGCCCCCTTCCTCTCTGCTCTAGGCAGGGCAGGGAGAAGCTGGGAGGAGGGAGGGAGGAGGCGCTGCTGAATGGGTGTGCTGGCGCAGCCCAAACAATCAGATCAATGCTGATCCACGCAGCGATTCCCGGACTGTCCGCGGGCCAGATCCAGAAGGCAACTGGGCCGGATCCAGCCCCCGGGCCTTAGTTTGCCTACCCATGACATAGAATCATAGACTTGGAGAGTTGGAAGGGACCCCAGGGGTCCTCTAGTCCAACCCCTGGCAATGCAGGAATCTCAGCTAAAACATCCATGACTGACGGCCACCCAACCTCTGCTTAAAAACTTCCAAGGAAGGAGAGTCCACCACCGTATTGTATTGTTTTCAGTGGTGTTTCATGTTTTATTGCTGAACGCTGCTCTGATATTTTACGATATGGGCCTATAGAAATACTTTTGTTAAATAAATAGACCCAAGGAATCATACTTAGAGTTAACATTTTCCCTCCTTCATCGAACTAAACAAACAAATGTAATTATCCTTTTTAAATGCATTTAACACCTCAGGAATACTTCAATTATAACTCCATTAATTTAATCTATTTCATTACACCAGAAGTAGGATTTAGGATCCCTGATACCCACACATACGCATATTAATGATTCAGTCTAACACATTTCCCCCCTTCTTGTTCCCTACTTCTCAACCAGTAAGTTAATTTTCACAGATTTAATTAAGGTCCAGCACTTAACTTCCCATTTATTACTTTGGGGACTTTTCTTATTTTCCAGTATTGAGATACTAATGTCTTTGCTGCCATCAATAAGTAACGCAATAATTCTTTCTCTGTTTAGGATCCAGTTTCACCCATATAAAAATTCTAAGAAGTTCTAAAAGGGCTTTCTATCTCTGTTAAAACTTCATCCGTATCTGCAGTCCACAGTCTTTGTGGATAACATGTCCACCAAATATCAGGAGGGAAATGTTCACGTTTCAATAGCTGTGATTCCTGCACTTCAGGGGGTTGGACTAGATGACCCCTGAGGTCCCCTCCAATGCTATGATCCTATGAAATATGCATTTTTTAACAGATTCTCTTGTGAAACACGTTTGAGCTTGGGTTTTGACAAATGCTTTGGTCTAGGGCAGGGCTCAGCAAGGTTTACCTCACCTGGGCCAGTTCACTCCACCGGAGCTCCTTCTGTGGGCTGGATTGCGCGTGTGCCCGCGATTTCTGGCATCTGTGTCTGCGCAGACGCAATTTCCGGCACCGTGGAAATGAATCTCCGCGCTGCACTGCACTGGTTTAGCACAGCATACGGGGATTCACCGAGTAGGCAGCTCTGTTTGGAGGCTGTTTGGGGGCCGGTTAAATGACCCCATGGGCCACTTGTGACCCATGGGCCTTAGGTTGCTGGCCCCTGGTCTAGGGCTTGTGGCTTGACGGTAGACAGTCTAGGGCTTGTGTGCATGACTTGAGGTCATCCGTGGTTAGGCAAAGAATCATGGACATAGAGTGACAACAGGATTGTACAAGGGTCCCTGATTATAAAATAATAGAAAACGAGAGATATGTAGCTGCTCCAGAAACATAGCTCTATTTCCTCACATCCAGAAATGCAAGAAGGGCTTTCATTCTTGCTCTAGTTTGTTTGACAAACCATGGTTTATTCTTACAGGTGAACCAGGCCAGTATTGTCTAAGCTTCCTGTTTTGGGAAGTTTTTAATGACTGATGTTTTAATGTTTTTTTAATCTCTTGTTGGAATCCGCCCAGAGTGGCTGGGGAAACCCAGCCAGATGGGTGGGGTATAAATAATAAATTATTATTATTATTATATAGAAGCTCAGCCTTGCCCTCGCCGGTTCTGGAAGGCTCCTACAGAAGAGTCCCATACGCACAGAGACTTTGCGCCTGTCCATCGGGGAAAATAGGAAGCCCCAAACATATATTTTTTAGATGTCCTTTTTATGTTGAGATTCGTAGGGACACCGTTGATCTTTTGCTGAAGAAGCTCACCGATCTTCCAGACAAGTCTAAACTTAATTCTCTCCTCTTAGGCAAAGATCATAAGACGACCTGGCTGGTAGCCAAATTCTGCGCCCAGATTTGTAGGCACAGATCATCCTCTAGAATAAAATCGCTTATTGGGGAAATGCCGAAGTCGCCCTTTGGGGCGCTTCAGGGTCAATTTTAATGGTAGCCCAAATCTCAGTTGTATGGGTGTATGTATATATCTCAATTTTAACTCACGAGCTATTGCTGCAATCTGCTCTGATTGTATATTTTATCTTTATGAACGCTGTTTTTATTGTGTTATGCGAGCTGGTCTTTGACCGTAATAAATTATCTGGCATCTCTTGACTTGAGGTCCCACGTTTTCTTCCCAGTGGCATCTCCAGGGTCCCTGCCAGTCAATCCTGGAGATCCGCTGCCAGCCAGTGTAGGTAATACTACACTAGATGGATCCGTGGACTTACTCAGCTTCCTGTGTTCCTGTCTGGAGGAGCTCCAAGAAGAATTAAATGCATTTTGATGAGATTAGTACAGATTCTCAGGATTTATTCCCCCCCACACACCGAGTTCCATCTCTAATGCTGAGCGCCATCTACTGGCACAAATCTTTATCCAGCCCTGTCATTTTAACCCTCCAGGCATAAACCAGCGAGGAGCGCTGCATGTTCTTAACTTCCTGGGGCATGATCTATCATCATTTCATCTTCCCTTAGCAAAGCATACACAGGAGCGGATATTTATGTATCTTTCATGCCCTTGGGAGCCTGAATGTTGGAATATCTTGTAAACCGTTTCGGGTTTTTTTTTTAAATGAGCATGACTCTTGAGAAAAAGATACCCGGATCGTACTATCTGAAGCACGGAGATGAGTGAAAGGCAGCCAGCGGGGATGAGAGAGATGTAAATTGTTCCATGTTAGGCACCTAAATGCACAGATTTGGAATTCGTTTTCCCCCTTAGAGATCTCAGGCGGTGTGGCAGCTCGAAGGCTGAGCTATGAAGAGAGAAGAAAGCCGTCTCGAATATTTTGCCGCTGAAAAGTTCAGTTAAATGCTCGGAAAACACTTAAAACGGTAGTCCCTCTAGACTGGTGCCTTGTTTGTGTGCATGTGACTGAGCAAGGATGTATTTAGCGACTTGTCACTGATGCGATAATAGTGCATTCATTGAGGATTTATACTGGGCTATCAACCTATTTTGGATCTTGGAGGAGAGCCTATGGCACAATGGGTCAGTGCATCTGACTGCTAATCAGAAGGTTGGTGGTTCGATGCCACACAGGGACAGCCATGGGCAGGATTCCTGCACCCTTCCAATTCTACAATTCGTTGAGGGCCATAGTGTGGTGTAGTGGTTAAGAGCGCTGGACTCGTAATCTGGTGAACCGGGTTCGCGTCTCCGCTCCTCCACATGCAGCTGCTGGGTGACCATGGGCTAGTCACACTTCTTTGAAGTCTCTCAGCCTCACTCACCTCACAGAGTGTTTGTTGTGGGGAGGGAAGGGAAAGGAGATTGTTGGCCGCTTTGAGACTCCTTCGGGTAGTGATAGAGCGGGATATCAAATCCAAACTCTTCTTCTTCATAGGATGGTTACTGGCCATAATGGCTGTATTCTGCCAGCAATGCTTCCAGATACCAGTTGCTGGAAAACACAAGGGGGAGAGTGATCTTGTGCTCGAATGCTGCTTGCAGGTTTCCCATAGGCATCTGGTTGGCCACTGTAAGAACAGGACGCTGGACTGGAAGGGCCACTGGCCTGATCCAGCAGGCCCTTCTTATGTTCTTATATAATTTGCCTTTATGAGTAGTTCTGTCATGTTTCCCCAATGTTAAGGCGTTATTGCTGTCTGCAGTGACACTCTTGCGCGGTAACATGATGAAAGGACAGATAAGCAGCCCTGAAACATTTGCAGTACAGTGGTACCTCGGGTTACAGATGCTTCAGGTTATAGACTCTGCTAACCCAGAATTAGTACCTCAGGTTAAGAACTTGGCTTCAGGATGAGAACAGAAATCGTGCTCCGGCGGTGCGGCGGCAGCGGGAGGCCCCCATTAGCTAAAGTGATACCTCAGGTTAAGAAAAGTTTCAGGTTAAGAACGGACCTGCAGAACGAATTAAGTTCTTAACCCAAGGTATCACTGTATAAAAGAATTCTAGCTGGAAGCCACAGGGCTTGCACCAATCTGCAACAAAGCAGTATGTTCACTCTGAAAATTTTGCAGGTGCAAACAGGACTGTGTATAACTGCCCCAATACCATCACGAACACAAACCGTCGTGGACACAACACAAAAGGAATTCCTGGAGGGGCCTTTACGTTGTTTCTCTGTAACATCCGTCTGAACAAGATTGCCTGTGGCCCTCCAAGCATGTGTCCGTGTGTGTGTTGTGTATGTGTGTGTTGTGGGTGTGCATCAGCTTTGTGTGTACCCTAAATTATGTGCTGAATTGGAGTGATTCAGGGAAGGGCCTCAAGCTTCCTGAGCTAACAAGGTGGATTAAGGTTTCCCTAAGCTTCCAAGACACTTGGTAGACTCCGCTGTCCAAATATATGCACCAGTTCCCCCTGCCCCAAATAATGAAACCAAGCTGACTGGGCAAGCGCTCAGAGCTCAAGAGGGGAGGGGATCTTTTGTTTTGATGGACATGTCTAGATTTTAAACTCAATTATTTCCTTGGCACTCCAGCCAAAGTGAGTTGAGGGAAGGATTAAAAAATGCATTTGTTTTTCACGTGGATCTGTGCCTTTCCCCATGTATCTCAGTGGAGAGATATTCACTGTATCTCGAATAACCTGTGGGGAGTGGGGATGCTTCCACTCCCAACCAATGACCCTTGTGGGACCAGGTACCCACTGGGAGGGGTTGCATTCCCCCCCCCACTCCAGTCTTTCCTGGGAATTTGTCCTGTTTTTCCACCACCTTCCTCTGCTATGCAAGGCAATGGTGAGAGATTTGTCTCCCAGGGAGAAGAGGTTGTATCCCTCCAAAAAGCCCTTCCACCAAATATCTTTTGGGCAACAGGGTCTTTACCACCTATAATTCCTATTGTACCCACCCAAAAACAGTGAATTCTGTCCTTGCAGAAGAACCATTGCAACTAACATTACGGAATTGGGCAGGCTTCATCCCCCTGCAAATTGCATTTAATTCTGGCAAAAACAGATTGAAAAGTTATAGATTTTCCTTTGTTTAAAAATGAAACATTAAAAATGTTTTTAGATTCCTTATTATATTTGACCAGAGAGAGAGAGAAAGAGATCTGAAATCCTGTACATTCCATGCACTTTTAACCCAATCTGCCCACTATCGGCAGTGGCCCCAAATTAGCTTTTCCCCTGGAGAAATGCCCCCCCCAACTCCCTCATCTCTGATCTACAGCATTTTGATCATCTTAAATCTCTGGCAAGGAACAATCAGAGGCCCGGATTCTGGCTGAGTATTTTTGGCAATCACCTGATGATTGACTACTAAATGAAGCTGAAATGGGATCCATGTTTGTATTAAAGAAGAATGGAGACATGAAGTGCAATGTTGTTATTGAGACCATGCAATTGCCGGGGAGGGGGTAAATTTTGGATTTCTTGTCTGCCTTCTGATGCCTTCATTTAAATGCAAATGGCAACTTCGGCCAAAGTGAAATATCAAGGATGGTTTATTTTCTCCCTAAGGAACCAACAATGAGAACCCATTTAGAACATTTGCTTTTTCATAAGCAAAGAAACTTTTTTATTCAGAGCTGCACACAGTACTTATAGGAATTGATTTTCTTTTATGGGATGAGAGAAGGGAGCAGTGAGCATCATTCCCATGTTTACACTGCAGTTTCAAGATCAAATCCATACAGGCTGGCGAGTAATTTAGACTGTGATCCTAAAGACACTTACTGGGAAGTAAGTCCCATTGAATCCTACTGAACAGCTGGAACAGAATGGCTTTGAAATAGGATTCATAGAGGATAAAAATATCAAGGGCTACTCACTCTGATGGCTATGTCCTAGCCATCAGAGTGAGTAGCCCTTGGAGTGAGTATGCTTCTGAATACCAGCTCCTGGAATCCACAGAAGAGGAGATGCACATGGAAAGCCTAAAAGCATTATCAGAGGTCAACAGCACCTGCAATTCCTAGCAACTGATTTCAAGAGTCTGGAGGCGGTTGGAGGATGGATGGCGGCTAATAGATTGAGGTCGAATCCTGACAAGACAGAAGTACTGTTTTGGGGAGGGCAGGGGGCAGGTGGGTTTGAAAGATTCCCTGGTCCTGAATGGGATAACTGTGCCTCTGAAGGACCAGGTGCGCAGCCTGGGAGTCATTTTGGACTCACACTGTCCATGGAGATGCAGGTCAATTCTACGTTCAGGGCAGCTGTTTACCAGCTCCATCTGGTACGCAGGCTGAGACCCTACCTACCCGCAGGCTGTATCGCCAGAGTGGTGCATGCTCTAGTTATCTCTTGCTTGGACTACTGCAATGCGCTCTACATGGGGCTACCTTTGAAGGTGACCCAGAAACTACAACTAATCCATAATGCGGCAGCTAGACTGGTGACTGGGAGTGGCCGCCGGGACCATATAACACTGGTCCTGAGAGATCTGCATTGGCTCCCAGTACATTTCTAAGCACAATTCAAAGTGTTGGTGCTGACCTTTAAAGCCCTAAACAGCCTCGGCCCAGTATACCTGAAGGAGCGTCTCCACCTCCATTGCTCTGCCCAGACACTGAGGTCCAGCGCCAAGGGCCTTCTGGCAGTTCCCTCAATGAGAGAAGTGAAGTTACAGGGAACCAGGCAGAGAGCCTTCTTAGTAGTGGCACCCTGTGGAATGCCCTCTCATCAGATGTCAAGGAAATAAACAACTATCTGACTTTTAGAAGATATCTGAAGGCTGCCCTGTTTAGGGAAGTTTTTAATATTTGATGAATTACTGTATTTTAATATTTTGCTGGAAGCCACCCAGAGTGGCTGGGGAAACCCAGCCAGATGGGCAGAGTATAAATAAATTATTATTATTATTATTATTATTATTATTATTATTATTATTATTATATTTATTTATTGAGGTATACAGCCTCTGACAGTGAAGGTAGAGTAGGAGTTTCTTCCATCAGAGCTCTTCTTAAACAAGCCCTGTTTCAAACACCATTTACTTGGCCTTCCTGTATCCTTGGAAGTCCAGCCTAACATTTAGAAAAGGCAATAAACCATTTTTTAAAAATAATAATAATAAACGTGGCAGTCACTCTGCAGAACAGGCACATTACATATCACCTGCTTTCCTTTCTCTCGCATGTTGTTGCAACGTTGGGCTTTAATTAGTGCATTAAACGCCACAGTTTGCCTTTATGAGATCCAGGCGGGTTTTTCTTTCCTGCGAAAACGGAGCAGTTCAATTACCCTCCTTCTAATGGATAAAGCATAATTAACATTGTCTTGAGGCTAATTTTCATTTATGCTGCCATTGCTCATAAGCCCAACATCATTCTCTGGAAAAAGTCAACTTGTCACTTTTATGAGTCCAGTTTGCACTTTAACAGCACGGAAATTAATTCAAGATACATTAACGTACTTAAACTTCAAATATGGGGGAATTAAGTGAGGACCAGCAATCCATCTTTATGTGTCCTTTGCAAAGTCATGAAGGTTCGGGAAGGGCGTGCAGGTTCACCGGTACAGGGTAAGCAGTACAGAAGAGGTATTCTATGCTACAAAAGCTTGTGGGAGCCAGGCATTCGGATCCTTGCACCAATGCTCTCTGTTCATTTCTAGGCTTGGTTTGGTTTTGGCTTTTAATGCCCAAACCAGAGGTGGAGAACCTGGGGGTGGCCTGATTTGCTCACTTTTTGCCTCTGGTTCACCAGTGGTCTCTGAGCTGTACCTGAAATTGCCATAATTTCCAGATAAACTGAAGGTGAACTAGGTTCATTCTGAGGTAGAACTTTCAATGGCTTCTAGTTCATTGTCATGTTCATTCCCTCTACCTGCCAACAGAGGGCCTGGATGCTTAGCATTTTTTTTTAAGGAAGTCAGTCAGACATCTATAAAGAAAGTTAGAAAGCAAACTGTGGAGGCAATGTGCTGCTACTAGTAAGAATGCTTAGTCACTGTTGTGAAGCAATCAGAAGGAAGGAATGTGGGGCTTTTCCCATACCTTCCCTGCTGAAGAGTTTTGCTCTCTTTCAACAGGATGATGAAGAAGCCTTGTACCTTTACCAGCTACATGGCAGAGCAAAAGCAAAAAGATTATAGTATTTTCTAGTATGGAAGTATAATAATGGAGACAGCTTCACCTGTTGCCATTCCATCTGTCAGAGATCTTATTACTTGTGAGTGGCCCATTATTTGCTTTTGAACCCTGTACTTCAACACAGCAGCTTGTAACGCTCTGAATGCTGTTTTTTATTTGTTTGTTTCTCCATCACTCCATCTTCTGCTTACACATCTTATACTGTGTAAAGCAGAGCTTTCAGATCCTTGATTTTGTTTGTATCTCACCTTCCCGTACATTACCAATGCACATGTGTAGATTGCTTCCCAGCCACCACATAAGTTGTATGTTCTCAAGTATACACACTGTTTGGGCTTCACTGTCAACCCCCTTAATTGGCCTCACTGTCAACCGTATTTCACAAAACCCTAGAACACTCATGGCGAACCTGTGGTCCTCCAGATGTGTCTCCTGTCATCCCAGGACATGGGCCATGCTGGCTGGGGTTGATGAGGGTCTGAGTCCAATCTTTTCTGGAGAACCACAGTTTCAGGAGCCAGAGTCAAGAGCAGGTCAGCAATGAAACGCCTGGTGTCCGTGAAGTTCTCTTTCTTCAAAGAAACCAAAACAGTGCAGGCCTAGTGATCACAGCAATTCTTCCCAGTAGGTCTTGCCCCAATGAGGCAGTTGCAAGGATTGAAGGTCCTCACCTTCCCACCACTCTGTAAGACTCCTCCCCTGGTTCCTTCCCCAGCAGCCTAAGGCTCCTTCATCTTGTCTCTCTTTGCTCCGCCTTCTTCATTTCTCTGTGTGTTCTGGCAGACCAGGGAGGAGGGGAGCTGGCCACAGTAGGAGTGGCAGGTTCCCTGGCTTCTTCAGCAGCCTGCCTCCACTCTGCCTCTTGACCCCTTCCCCCATGCTTCTGCCTCTGAATCTGGGCTGTTCTCTGCCACAGTCTCTTCCTGCTCACCAAACCCTGTTTCCTCTTCAGCTTCCAACACTTCCTCCTCCCAATCTGCTCCTTCTTCTCCCTCTGACCACTCATTGTTGTCCCTCCACCAATCCTCTGGTTGTGAGCCTTCTTCCTCTGGGGGTTCCCTTGGGGGTTTCCCAGCTGGTGCCTCTGCATCCAGCTAGTCCATGACACACAGATTCTCCACCTCAGTAAACCTGATTTCAGGGAGTTGTTTTCCCCCCAAAGTGATGCACGCAAATGTGCTCCTGCACATTTTTAAAGCCCTGCAGAAATATCATCCGTATGCATTCATACATATGCACAGCCACATCAGGATTCCACACCCCTCCCGGTGTTTAATCAATGCATATATGTGCATTGATAATGTGGGGGTGGGGTGCGAACAAACTGACTCTGCAATCCTATGCACATCTTCGTTTCCTTGAATGTGGGGTTCCTTTTGAATAAATGTGTGCAGGATTGTGCAGTGAAAGAACTAACACCCACAGGCAAGATCCATTTCTGTGGGGGGGGGGGTTAAAAAAAGAAAAGAATGTATTTCCCCAGTTAAAGAAATGGAAAGCAAGTTGAGGAACAGTAATGGAACAAATGTTTCAGGATGTCGAAAAGTGTGATTCTCTACCTGCCTGTGAAGATGTGAATTATCCCTTTGTCCATAGATTTGTGACTCAGTTGGAGTTTTATGTCATTCTCCTGGCCAACTTGCAGAAAATAAGCATATGAAACACGCAACATCTTCATATGTTTATTGTTCTCAAAGACATTTCTTTTCTTTCTCTATGAAATGAATGGATGATTTCTAATGGAATAAACAATTACGTATGGTGCCCTTTGGAAGGTGGTGGCCTTTGTACGTGCTCCAAGGCTCTCTATGCCCTGATTTCTTAAAATTGCTTCCAGGCAGGAAGCAGGAGTGCTCTGCAACTACAGTGGTACCTTGGAAGTTGAATGGAATCTGTTCCGGAAGTCTGTTCGACTTCCAAAATGTTTGGGAACCAACGTGTGGTTTCTGATGGGCTGCAGGAAACTCCTGCAGCCCATCAGAAGCCACGGAAGTTGTGTCACACATTCAGGTTCTGAAGAATGTTTGAAAACCGGAACAATCACTTCCAGTTTTCGATCGTTCAGGAGCCAAAATGTTTGACTCCAAAGGCGTTTGAAAACCAAGGTAAGACTGTACTCAGAAGCCCCTTTCTCCTACCAAGCAAGAAAAACTTGGTCCAGCTCATGACTGGGGACAGAGAGGCAGGGTGGTACATACCTTACAACTGTCAGGCTGAAGAACCAGAAGTGTTAAAAATGAAACCTTATTTGTCTCCTCTTCATAAGCCATTTTCAAGCCTTGTTTGCCTTGCATTTAATTATTCTCAGTGAATGACATGGTGGAGACACGTGGACAAGTTCCCCTTTGTTTCCTGCCCAGAGGTCAGCCCTGGACGGAGCTGATTGCTTGCTTTAATCAAGAGGGACACAGATGCTTGATCTGCCTTGTTTGGCTGCAAGCTGTGGTTTAGGGGCAAGAGCGGGGAAGAGAGATGTTAGTAGAGGAGGGAGGGGTCATCAGAAGTTAATCAGCATGACAATAATGTGCTACAGGATTAATGTGACAAGGCCAGTGAGCAGCACTCCTAATGAGCCAGGCAATAGCTTTTCTTTAGCAGATGCCACCCATTGACCTGTTTGGATGTACAGGTAAGTTGAGGGCCCCGCTCAATGGATTATCTCTTTGGGGATGTCATCAGATCACCAGGCAAAGTTCATATTGGCAGCGCCGGGCAGCTCATTTGTGAGGGTTCACAGGCAAGCAGAGATTGTTAGCCTGCCGATAGTGAGCTCTTACTCAGATG